TGGGTCTGTGTGGGAGTATGAATTTGGTGAGATCTGTGCCTTTCAAGTGCAGAGATTGAGGCTGGATCTGGGGATGAGAAGGTGTGATAAATGGTGGAAGAGCTTGGGTCTTGTGAAGATGATGTGCATAGGAGATGGGAATTGAGAGGAGGTCAGGAGATGCCATGGGAAGGACAAGGGAGATTTTGGGCATGGGTGATGAGTAGGAGGATTAAGAACATGAGCTGTGCTTGCAGGCAGTGGATAGTGGTCATGGAGCTGCTGTTGCCCTAGTCCTGGGAAGGCAGTGTGTAGGTGCTGGGGCAAGCAGGGACTTGAGGAGGGAGATACAGCATGCACATCTCTGGCACTGTTGCAGATGCAAAAGTTTAGTGAAAACTTAAATGTTCTTAATTTGTTAACTTCCTGAGTTTGCCAAGTTCATTCCTTTAAACATTTGCAGCTGAAGTTACTAAGTTACTAGAGGAAAAGATGTCTACATGAATCCAGCAATCTGGTGAGACAGAGTTTACAAAACACAGGTAGCTGCTCCTGTGCTTGGAGCTCCAGCACATCAGGAACAATGAAGACACCCAATGTGTTTGTCTTCTCTTGCACTGTGCCACAAATTGTATTATGAACATTCTTTAAAGAATTTAGTGGAAGAAGAGACATCTTTTTGAAGAGGAGTCTTCTTTTTTTTTTTTTTTTAAAAAAAACCCAAACCACCAAAACCAAACCAGAAACCAGAGAGATATTTTTTGAATTTGTTCTGTTTCTCCTATCTGAGCACTTGGATGTGTTGATAGACTCCTTACAAATGACAGAATGCAAGAGATATTGGTGGGAGCAGAAGAAGAAAGGAAAATACACTTGTTCTGGCTGAGATAGTCTTAAAACATTGCAGAAGGAAAGAAAAGCAGGACTGTGTAGTCAAAGCAGAAAGTTGAATTTTCTGCCATACAGTTGACTTACTGTTGTCTTCAGCTGCTAGTTTCACAGGATCACAAATGGCTGGGGTTGAAGGGGCCTGGAGGTCATCTGTCCAACTCCCCTGCTTCAGCAGGGCCGCCTAGAGCCCACTGCCCAGGGCCATGCCCTAATGTCTTTTGAAGAACGGAGACTCCACAATCTCCTGGGCACCCTTTGTCAGTGCTGGGTCACCCTCACAGTGGAGAAGTGTTTCCCAGTGGTTCTGTGTCTCAGTTTATGCCCACTCCCTCTGGTCCTGTCCCTGGGTGCCACTGAGCAAAGCCTGGCTTCCTCTTCTTTAGACCTTCCCATCAGATATTTGTGTGTATTGATGAGTTCCCCCCCATGCCTTCTCAAGGCTGAGCAGTCGCAGCTCTTTCTGCCTTTCCTCATAAGAAAGATGTTCCAGTCCCTTCGTCTCATCCTCACGGCCCTTTGCTGGGCTCTCTCCTGTATGTCCATGTCCTCTTGCACCGAAGAGCCCAGCACTGGGCCCAGCACTGTGTGTGTGTCCTCACCAGTGCTGAGCAGAGAAGGATCACATCTCTTGACGTGTTCCAGCACTCCTCCCAACGCAGCCCAGAACACCCAGTAACCTCCTCCATGGCAAGGGCACATTGGTGGCTCATGTTCACCTTGGTGTCCACCAGGACCTTCAGAGCCTGTTCTGCAGAGCTGTTTTCCAGCTGTGCCTGGTGTTGTTCCTCCCCAGGTGCAGGACTTTGCTCTTGTTTAGATACCTGAGGTTCCTGTCAGCCCATTTTTCCAGCTCATCAGGGTCCCACTGGGTATCAGCATGAGCCTCTGGTGGATCAACCACTCCTCCCCATTTCTGTTGGTTAAGTTAAATATTTCTCTTTAGTGAGTTGTAAATCTTCTGACAGGGTTATGTAAGTGTGAGATCATGAAAATAAAATTGCTCAAACCATTTATCACTTAACAACTCAGACTTCTTTCACTTTTGGCTATCATATGTAGCATATATCATGTAGCTGCTGAATGTTGAGTACATTAATAGTGCTCTTACTACAGCTGAAATTAAGTTGTCCTCAGTTATGACAAATGAGTTGGTTGTAAATACTGTTCCTTAATTATCCTTTCAGTTGGTTGCTTTGGTTATTGCTTCAAACTAAGTCCAGTGTTTCTTTACTTTCAAGAATGTCTCCTTTTCCCCCTCCCCCAACACACATACCACTGACAAAAATGTTAACTACAACCTGAGGAAAGGCAAAATTGTTTATCTGAAGGCTGCCTATGGTGTCAGCTTCCACGTGAGGTGTTTGGAAAAGGAGGTGGAACTCTCTCGGGCCTGTAATCTTGGTGGTTCCTCTATCTTTATGCCACATACCAAGAAAATGACCTTGATAAGAATTCGCACACCAAACCCCGGGCAGAAGAAATTTTGTTTACTTTTTCAGTTTTTAGTTGTGTGAAAGACTGAGGTGAACTTCATGCCACGTCGAAGGATTAGAGGTTAAAGTGGAGAAAACAGTTCTTGATTCTACTTTGCAGGACTTTCCAAAGAGTTTAGTGAAATAAAACAGGGCTGCATTGTGAAGAACCTCCAGTTCAGAGTTTAGGCCTTTAGCTTGGAAGCTTAAGGGCTGTGAGAATCATTTTCCATATGAAGGTGACCTGGGAATGTAAACTAAAACGTATGAAAAGACAATTTGTTAGAGAAAAATCTGTAATTTGTGGAAGCAATAATTTATTATGCAGTCCATCTGGAGGGTTGCTAAAACAGGGCTGCATTGTGAAGAACCTCCAGTTCAGAGTTTAGGCCTTTAGCTTGGAAGCTTAAGGGCTGTGAGAATCATTTTCCATATGAAGGTGACCTGGGAATGTAAACTAAAACGTATGAAAAGACAATTTGTTAGAGAAAAATCTGTAATTTGTGGAAGCAATAATTTATTATGCAGTCCATCTGGAGGGTTGCCTCCCTTGCCTTAGCATAGGTGAACATGCTCATTCTAATGGGAGCTGTCCCTGCCCATGGCAGGGGGGGTGGGACCAGATGATATTTAAGGTCCCTTTCAATCCTTAGCATTCTATGAATCTGTGATTCAGCAGGTGAAAGTGTTTTTTTTGGAAAAAAAAAATCTAGCAGATATGAGCAAAAAATGGTGAAACAGTTGTTTTGCTATTTTTGCAAGGAAAAAAATGTGAAAAATAAATTCCCTGAGTGCCCTACTCAAGTATCTGACCACATCTGATGAAGGAAAAAGGGAACAGCATTTATTGCTGAAATATTTATAAACTGAGAACAATGCAAGAAAATTAGGTTTTTTTTAATTGTTGAAATGCAACTTTAATTCAGATTATTCCTTTTTTTTTTTAAATTAAGCCAAATGTAAAGCTTTTAGCAAAACACAAATCTTTGCAGGAGCTCTGTGTGGTGTCTAGCCCTGAGGAGCAGGGACTGTACCTTTCATCAGGGCATGGTCACAGTGTGATCCTGGTGCTGCACACCTGATAAATCACAGCGAAGGGGAATAATGTTTGGCTCACACTGCATGGTCCTTTTCCCTGCTGTCCCCCTGATAGCAGGAACTAGTAACTGACAGACATGTACAGTGTGCCAGCTCATAATTGATGCTGAAAGAAAAGCCTACTGAAATCATTGATACGTGTTTGGGTGAATTTCTGAAGTTTGCAATATCAAGTCAAGAAACGTCCGTGGTAATTTATTGTGTTGCAGTGGTGTCAAAGCATTGAACTTGTCTTTATTTCTTCATGTTACCTGAGATTAGCAGGATCAGCAAATCTGTTTCCTGCTGGTGGTTGTGACTCTTAAAACCTGTAATCTTTAATCATCAAAGTATCTTTAGGAAATAGCTCAAAATAAAATCTAAATGAACTTCTGTGTGTAACGATAAATATTGTACAGTTGTGTAAGTAACATCTTTGTATTACTTCTCAGCTAAACCACTTTGGATTTGAATAGCAGTTACATAACACAAAGATACTCCTGAATAAGCCTTCAGCAGGTTTTTTGATTTTTTGATTATTTTTTTTTCCCCAGTGTATCTGCTGTAGCACTTTGGCATGCAAAAAGTATGATTTTTTTTTTTTCCCCCCAGTGTATCCGCTGTAGCACTTTGGCATGCAAAAAGTATTCTGGTTTTCAGGTTGTGTACTGCTCTCCTGCCTTACACTATATGGCTGCAAATTATAACTGGCTATTATGGAATTGTCTTGGGGTGTTGACACCTGTTTTTATAAAGCAAGAGAACAACATCAGCAGAGGAGAAGTTGTCCTGGTCATTAGGATTCTCCACGGGAGATCCTAACGATTTAGGCATTTGGAGCCTTGTGTTACAGCCGGAGCTTTTGTGAGCAGCTGCAGCCAGCACAGTCCTGCCATGTGTTCTGTCCTCCTGACACAGTGTGTTGGGAACTGACCTGGGCCCAGGCAGCACTGTGCTCTTCCCCCAAGTGCAGTTGGTTTGGGTCTTGCTGAGCTCCCTGGTTGGGTTGTGGAGGTTGGAAGGGAGAGGGAGGGCTGGGAGAGATGCTTTGCACAGCAGGACCCATGTACCCATCTGTGCCTTGATGTCAGTGTGTTCTGGTGAAGGTGCTCAGGTCTGCAGTGACTGGTTTGGTGGTGGAACCGTTGGCTTCATGCTTCTCTGATTTGTGAGTTTTTGCAGCTCTACTTTGTTTGAATAGCTTCTCCTGAAGGGAAAAAGGACACACTGTGCCTCTTCGCCCCCCCCAATCTTGAGTCTGTGGATGGGTCTGAGGTGGTGAAATCTGTGTTTTTGATGAGCAGTTTTCACCAAAAGAAAGTTAATCTTGCTGTAGTTGAGCCTATCTAAAAGTTACTGTTCTGTGCCTTTCCTCTGAACGTAGTGTGGCTGGAGAATCAGAGATCCTGAAGGTCATGTCAGTCCCTGTCATGCACTCAAATGGTGCACATGTTGGTGAGGGGACGTGTTTTCTTTCTTCTGGGCTGAAATACAAAATCAGATGTGCTTTAAACGTTAGCTTGAGTTGCTTTGCGAGAAAACTGTTGTATGTAACTATATATGATGTGTTGTTCCCAACAGCTGGCGTTTACACGGGATGGACTGTGTGGCCTGTGGAATGAGATGGTGAAAGATGGGGAGATTGTATATCCTGGAACAGAGTTGATACAAAGTGGTGAACTACCTCCAAGAAAAGGTATGGGTTTTTGATTTGTTTTATTTTTATCCTTTTATTATGATGATGAAGAGGGACTTCACATTCCATGCTGTCACAGAACTTTGGTTTATTGTCACCTGTCTATGCAATTTGCAGGTGTTCATGTTTTGAATTAAATGCAGTTCCTTAAAAGAGCACAGAAAGGTAATGTCTAAGCCTTCAAGTGAAGGCTTAAATGTGTTCCAGCCTTGTGAAATTAAACTTTGTATCTCGGCGTGTTGTTATGAGAGAGGCTTGGCAGTGGCTGTTGGGTTTGCTTGGTGTGTTTACAGCTGGAGCCTTTGTTTAAAGGAAGTGGACTGGGGAATGGGATGAAGCCAGTACTGCTATTTCTAATTTTGTTTACAATCTTCACAAAGTAACTGAAAGGTCAGCTAAAAAACTGTCCACAATGGGCCTGAGAATGTAGTTCTTTTTTTTTTCTTGGTGTTTTCCAGTGTACTGTGAGAGCAGTTCAAACACTGAAAATCCTGCACATGGAAGAGGAATACATCTATTTAGAGAGATAACTTTGGAGGGAGATTTTATTTCACAATATGCTGTGCCAAAACGAAGTGATTCTGCTCTTGTCTTTGTTCCTTTTTCTGAGTGTGGTGCTCTTTTGACTCCTTACTGAACAGAAAATTAAACTGGTAGAAAAAAGGAAAAGATTTGTTTCCTAGCCTGGCTGAAATGGGCTCACCAAATGGTCAGATAAGCATTGTCAGTAATTTATATGATCCCCAAACAAATGAGGAGAAGGGTGGAAATGCTGCCTTTGATAGCAGTGAACTATTATTTCAGCATCTCTTCCTGAACTGCACTGATGGATAGACACAATATTTCAAACCAGTAATGCTGAATTCCTTATGGAGGCAGAGTTTTTTTATACCTATGATGAGTTTTTTTATACCTATGATGAGTTACCTTTGAGAGAGATGAGTTTTTGACTAGAGGAAGTTATTTCTACAGGAAATAAGATCTAAATAATTTGTGAGAGGGAGAGTGAATTATACTTTTTTAATCTAGGGTACAAGATTTGTAGGTTATGGGTGGCTGTTTGCTGTAGTAAGGACTAGACTTAGAAAACTTTTGTCTTCCTTCTGCTGCTGGCTCTCTTGGATATTGTTGTTGACACTGGACAAAATACAGCTAGTCTTTTCAGAGGGGCCACAGCAGCTGCTCATGAAATGAGTGGAGGTAGTGCAGTACTTTCTTCCTTCGCATCGGCTAGTTCCAGGTACATTGCCAAAAGGTGTTGTGAACCTGATGAAGTGAAGGGAAGGATTATCACCTGGGTGAACTGACATTCACTGCCAGCTCCTGACAGAGGTATTGTGATGGTTGTGCTGTGACAGTTCAACACACTCTCCTTTCTTGCAGATAACAACCATCTGTAATAAGGAAGACTATATAAAAGTAAATACCTGCTTTACAAATGAAATTGATGCAGTTTCCTCTTTTTGTGCCAGATATTTACATGTTGTTTTAGAGTTCTACCCGTGCTGGTCTTTGACAGAGAACTATTCTTCCAAAGTCTCTGTAGCTAAGTAGCTGCAGAGAACTGGGATTTTTGTTAGTTGTGGTGCTGCAGTGCTTTCAGTAATTCTGAAGAAGCTTACAGAAAGGTGTCATTATATAACTGGTTTTAGTTTTCAGGGGAATCATTGAGATATCAACTAGGAAAATGCAATCTGTCACTTCTGATGCAAAATGTAGAGAGCAGTATAAAGTAAAACCACAGGAGTGCTAAGTCAGTCACTCATCCACGACTTCACATGTTCATCCACACTTGGGACACTTGTTCTGAATAATGATGTGAATGTTTTTTATTTTTTCAAATGCTGATATATGTATGTGACTTTGAAGGATTAAAAAGGTATGAAGTGTTAAAGGCTGTAGGATCCTGTTACTTAAACCCCCCAGAACTTCTGACAGTTTTCTGTATAAATAAGGTTTTTATGTTACCTTAAAATGCCCAAGCTGTGATGAGGCTTTTGAAAGCTTTCTTATATCCATAGTGTTGAGGTTTTTTTCTTGCTGTTTTTTTCAGACAGGCTGCCAGTACTGTATTGTGGTGGGTGCTGCTCACCCAGCTTGTTGTTGCTGCCCCTCCTCGTTAGGATAGAGGGAGAAAACAGAATGGAAAAGCTTGGGGGTGAGATAAAGCCAGGGACATCACTTACCAGTTACTGTCATGGGCAAAATAGACTTGGGGAAAATTAATTTAGTTGAATTTAGTGCAGATTAAGATGGAGTTGGATGGAGAGTAACAAAGACAAAATGTAAGACATCACCTTCCCCTTCCCCTTCTGGAGGGGTTAGGTGTAGGTATGACATAGCACAGATTGCACCTGCTCCTTTCCACGACTGCAGGGTGTGTTTTACTACACAGGTGCTCCTGGAACACCTGTTTCTTGAAATGCTGCAGTAGTTCAGAAATCTAAATACAGCTTAATGTTTAGGATTAATGTATAAATTCTGTTTCAGTGAAGTTAACCTTCATAATTTACAGGCCATTGTGCTGGCCTGTAGGATTGGAGAATACAACTGTCCTGCTTACTGGACTTGAGTTTTGAGAAGAAAATGCTAATTTTTGGTCAGTGTCAATCAGATTGTATATTTGATTCTGTTAGGCAGTAGTGAATCATGGAACCAGAAAAGCTGGAGGTCAGTTTGCACCTCTGAACTTGCAGCTCAAACTGAGTTTCATGAAATCGAAACATTTTATTTTAATCTGTTTACTTGATACCTTTTTGCATAAATGATCTACCAGCATAATTCAAGAAGAGGGGGAAAAGTACATTCAAGTAATGAGATTTGCATAAACCCCATTGCTTTTATATCAAAGGCAATATATTTTAATCTCAGTATTCAGATTTTGCTGCTAAGTTGACTAATTTACAGATAAACAAGAGAGGTTGCAGTAAGTAGCCCTTTTTATCCAGTCTGTTTGAAGTTTTGGTTTAAGCCCATCCATTGCAGCTCTTTTTGCTCAGCTTGTGATGCTGACTGGGCTGCTCAGAGGAGGCACTGCACCCTCTCAGTGGGTATTAGCAGTGGCAATAGGCTGCTGTGGTAGCAAAAAACATTCCTTCTCTCTAGGAGGAATATGCAAGTAGTGCATTTATTTTATTCCTGTTAGCAGGAACACTTGGTTAGGAATAACCTGTTTGTTTTTCTTCATGGCACTTCCATAAAAACATGCTTGGCAAATGTGTTCAGCAGAAAGTGTTTGTGTTTCCAAGTACCATCTGAGGACACAGCTGTGACAGTAGTGATGTCCAAGTACAGGTGCACTTGCAGCATGGCATGTACTGAAAGGATAATCAGGCTGCCCTCAGGAAATTTGGATTAAATTAGTGTTTTGTATACTGGCAGCTATGTACTGAAAATAATAAGTATTAAATAGTATTATTCCTACCACGTTTTCACGTTAAAGAACCATCACTGTAAATTTTTGAGTCATACCAGCCAACTACACAGGTCTCTTTTGTGGGTTGCTATTTTTTATTGATTTTTGATTCCTCAAACGTCACAGGAGGGAATTTCTGTTTCAAATAGCTATTTTAAGTTCTTGGGCAAAAATGCAGAATCCCCAGCTTCATAGCTCTGTCCTGCCTTTGGTAAACACTGTGGGCTTCCTCTTCCAGAAGGAAGAGGAACTTTCCTGACAGTTGGGCCTTTGTCAGCCTGGTGCTGTTGGAGCTACAAACTCAGTCAGTGTTGCACCTCCAGACAGAGTCCAAGTGCCACAAGTGGTTCCAGGGAGGCTGATGGAAACAAAACATTTATGATGAGAATATCAGTCTGTGGGAACGGGTTATGGTGGATGTTTAGACCCTGTATGTGTCAGACTGCAGTGGCACACAGACATGTAGGCTGGTGCCTGCTTTGAGCCTCCTTTTTTGTGTCTAAGAAATAACCTGTTAAAAGTGAGAGCTGCTGCTTTTTTCTCCCTCTCTTCTGCTTCCCACAACCCAAGTGTGGGCTGTACCCTGAGGGCTGTACCCTGAGGGCTGTACCCTGTGGGCTGTACCCTGTGGCTCGTTCAGTGTGCAGCTGTTGATTGTTGGATTTTCTCTGTAGGACAGAGGGAAGTCTCTCACAGAATCAGTTGGGTTGGACGAGACCACAGTGGGTCATTGGTCCATCCTCCCTGCTCCAGCAGGGTCATCCTAGAGCACATGGCTCAGGGCTGTGTCCAGAGGGGTCTGGAATATCTCCAGTGAGGGAGAATCCACCACCTCTCTGTTGTTGGACAGTTTGACTTCAGGAGTGTGAAATGCTCTATTGAAAACTCAACAGATAATTTGAAGAATGCATTTAAAAAAGTGTACCAGGGAAGAAAAAAAAATCTTGTGATCAGGGTTAGGAGTTGAGAATCTTGTGTCATCCTGACTTTTACAGCCGGAAAGCTGTGTAAACATGGTTTGCAAGCGGTTAGGGATGTATCCTTCCCTCACAAGGAACTGTCAGTTGAACTTTATATATGTGTGTATAAATATATATATATATATCTATATCTATCTATCTATATGTCTATCTATCTATCTATGTGAAATAAAAGCCCTTTGACAGAATATAAATTGCTATTTTGTATTGCAGCTGAAAAACTTCCTGGGTCTGGGACTACCAGGCTCTGGTTTGGAGTGGTTGTAACATACAGCCCTTGCCTAAAGCAAACTTTCTAACTTTTTGCCTTGTGAATGGCAACATCTGTGGGGAGGAAACTCTTAGAGACTTTCTCTCTGGAGGGATTCCTAACTCTGCCAGTTTATTGGCACATAAGAGCAGTGCAAGACTGTAGTGTACCAGGTAGTTGAGGTGACTGTGCAGTGTTTTGAGTATGAAATATAAGTTCCACTCTTAGTGCTTCCTTTTTATCCTCCCTTGGGAGTGGGTTAGGCAGTTGCTGTGCACTCTCTGTCGGTGTACACGCCGTGAGCTGCTCTCTGTGCTGTGCTGTGGGAGCTGCCTCAGGTTTGACTGGCTGTGCCTCTCTGCCCCAGCTTGGAAACCAAAGCATAGTTAAGAGAAAGTTCTTTCAGGGAAATGTTTTGCAGTTGTTTTTCCCCCACCACAATATTCACAATTCAGTCTGAGAAAAATGAAGTTAAGTCATGTTGTCACACTGCACTGTGTTTTTGCATGCATTGTTTTGAAAATTTTCTTATTACTTTTACATTGAGTTCCCTCTTTAAGATTTCCTCTTCCCTGCCCCTCTTTCTGAAAAATCTTTGGGTCTCCTGTTTAAAAATCTCTTTGATTAAGTGTACCTGAGCTTCCATAATCATGATGTCTGTGTTGCTACCTTTAATCTAGGCTGATACCAACTTTGTCCCTTACAGGGAGAGTGGATTTTTTGCAAGTATAGTGAACCATCTTTGTGGAACAATTTGACATGGTCTTTTAATGTGATTTTTAGCTCAGCTCCTTCCCACTTCTTCTCTCATCGCTCCCCTTTGCTTTTCATACAGACTATTAAAAAAAAAATTTCTCTCATTGCTCCCCTTTTCTTTTCATACAGACTATTAAAAAAAAAAAGTCCTTCTATGGAGTTACATATCAAGGTTGTTTCCATACCATACTGAGCTTGAGTTCCCACCTGGATTGGGACCTTCTCTAATTTGCAGTGAGGAGCTGGACAAAGGGACACAAGTTTGCAGCCCTTGGCTGTCATCCTTTGTCAGGGATCTGTTAAAAAGCCTAAGGAGCTCTCTTGGAGCTGCCTGCAAAGCACAGTGTCTTGGCACAACACCCTTCTACCCACTGACAGAAACGCCAGACCCTGTGAGTGTGTGTTGGGATGTGTGGGTGAGTGGAGAAACTGTGAGATTATGGTGTTAGTGTGGGAATATTCTGAGCCACTGGGGCTGAACAGTCCTTAGTCTGGAGTGGATTCTGTACCTTTCTGCTTTGAATGGAGGCAGCTAGAGTCAGGCACATTTGAGACGTTGTTGTCACTGTGGGTGACTGAGGTACTCAGTGTCTGAGGAAAAGCAGCTATGCTCCTATGGCTGCCACTTACAAGTGGGATAGCCAAACTGTATTTTCCTGTTCACAAGTGACTTTGCTGTCTCCTCCTCAGCCCACAATCCCAGCTCGAGCATGCATACTGCAATTATGTCTCCTCTTCCTTTCTCCCTGCTCTTCAGTCTGCATCTTCCACCTCCTGAGCAGCAGTGTGTAAGTTAGGAAACACTAGCTTTGATTTAAGACTTGTGTCATTAAGGCACCGTCAAAAGGCTTATTTTAGGTGCTATTGTCTACAGTCTAGCAAATGTTATAACAAAGAGGCAACCACAGATCCAGTTTGAACCAGATTAGGCATTAGTTTTCTGTCAGGCCAGATGGAAAGGATAGCTGAATGCTTTTGTACACAGTGCTAGGTGTGTTTTGTACATCCTGGGGTAAGGAGAGCCTTTGATCTCCAGGTGGGGTCACGCTGAGACTGCACTCAGATGTGCTGGGTCTGGCTGCAGCTGGAAACCTCTTGTTTGTTGTTAGCCTTGGAAACAGGCTGGTACATTTGGTCTTTGGGTGTGTGGGGTGAGAGAGGAAAAAGGCAAAATACTAGTGCTTATCTGTCCTGTCGTGGCCAGGACATTTATTGAGTCCTCTGGACTGGATGGCAGATGGGAGTGGAGGAGCAGTCACTTGTAAGAGCCAGGTGGAAATGGCTGGAACTAAACTTTTCAAGGGTAAGTTTTAAGTGCAGGACTCCAGAAATTTTGGGGTGTTGTTAGAAGAGAAGGTCAGGGTGAGGAAAGCAGCTGCCAATGTGTCTCTTAATTGCAAGGCAGTCGTATGGATTGAACTGACTGGAGCAAAGGGTATGGAAATCCATATCCCAGTATGAACCAGGAGAGCCTTCCAGCTCTGTGGTTCTACTGTGCCTAGAAAACTGAAACTTTGACACAGCCTTTGATTACAGAGATAAGTGACTAATGTCTGTGTTCTGTCTTTATGAAAGTAGTCTCAAAAGGATTGCAAATGCTATTTTGTTGCTTGGACAGAAAGTGGTAGTAATATTTTCATTACTTTTTGGTAATTGCTAAGATGCTAGATATGTTACAGATGTTGAAATACTGCTTAAAATTAATGTAAATGCCAATATATAGTTCTCCTTGATTTTGAAATTAAAGCAATTGCTGTCTTATTTTTTTTCCTGTGTTGGAAATAGAATATGAAAACAAGTAAACAGTACAGAAATGTGGAGAGTTGGGAGTCAGATCTGACTTCACCCCTGGCAGTACTGTGTGTTGTAAATCCTTTGCAATGTGGTGGTGTCGATATGAAACGTTCATCCTCCTGAGGAGGTTCCAGCAGTGATTTCTGGATCCTAAGGTCACTGTCTTACGAAACGTAATGTGAGACCTGGCACCTGTGACAGTGAACCTGGTGAAAAACTGCTTCCCCCACCCTGTGCTCAATGATAGACAATGTTGCTCTAAGCCTGTGGCTTGGATATTTCACCTTTTAATTTCTAATCTAGACTGGTATTCAAAGGGGAAGTAACTTAACTGGTCTTTTTTTATTTTTCTCCCTTTTTTTTGATTTTAGATGATAGCACTGAATGCCAAACTGCATCAAAGAAAGAAGAGCAAAATGACAAAGAAAAGAAAGATGAAGAAGAGACTCCACTGCCCACTTACAGAGCCAAATCGATTGTTGAGAGTTGGGTGTGGGGTAAACAACCAGGTATTACAGCTCTTTTGGTCATTGTCACTGAAGCATTACATATTCTATATCGATCACTACTTTTGTAGCATCAGAAAGTAATTGGATAAAATGTACTTGCTGACAGATGCCTCTGTAGGTTAGTGAAATAAGTTGGGTGAGTGGTTAACTGTGATTGAAATTAAACATTTACTAAATTAATTTTAGATTTAATTAGACTCATGACTTGAAGAGTCAGTTTGCACCTTCCATGCTGCTGGAAGGAATACTAAACCGAATGGGAACAAATGAAGTTAGACAGTGTAATGTTCCAACGTCTCCAGAATATTTCTTTTCAGTTGCAGACATTAAAAAGAAATTGCTTAGTTTCTGAGGCCTGAATTTTCTGCAGGCAGTAAAGGTTTAATAGGTGATTTTTCTTTTTTGATTTCATGGTCTGGTAGATAAGTTTGAGTGAATTGTGGGAGGAAGGCTGAAGTGGTTAAGTTCAATTAACTGTCTGTCCTGACCTTTGCTGACAGTAATCTCACCTATGGTGGCAGCACAAAAATGGTTTGTGTGTTCATATCTTCGTGGTAGGGTCTATAAAATACTGATTTTGATATTGCAGCCAGTTAAAATTCATGGCTGTTTGTTACTGCAGAGCAGCAGTTCATTGTCTAAAATTGTCCATGTTTAAAAATAGCAGATCAGAAGAAGCTTCACTTGAGTGGTTTGTTTTACAGTTCTGGGGTATGATGTTGCCTGATTCAGATGTTGGCATGTACAAACTTTGGAGACATCTGTTGTACCACTTGTCCTTTCCCTCACCCATAAGCACTTGGAGTTCCCTGGGAAAAGTGTTCCCTCTTCAGTGCCAGAATCTGCATCTGTGAGTGGTGTTTGCTAGGGAGGTTGTTTCTGCTGACCCACAGGTGGCTGCCAGTCTGCTGCCCTCTGAGCCAGCCAGCTTGCACCTTGTGCTCAGGGACAGGAGGGCAGACATCTGCTGTCCCTCTGGTAGTGGGACAGAATTTTGCAGTGTAGAAGGTATGAAAAGAATTGCCACTGCAGTGGAAGGGGAAGTGAGAGTTGAGTGTGTTGAAGAGATGTAAGCTGAAGGTCACATTATTTTTGTTTATATGCTTGTTTAGTGCTTGTTGCTGTAGAGTAAAATAAAGCTATTGTACAAAATGGTCGTCTAAATGTCAAGTATCTTACCAGATTTCTTCCAGATGACTGATGTGTTTGGGACAAGACTTGGCCTTTAAGCTCACCCTCCAGTTTTTCTTAAAAAAATTGGTAAAACAGTTGTTCAGAAACAAAGGGATGTATGTGTGTTTTGAGTTTTCAGAAAGAAATAACTTACTGTCTTCTAGTTACTTTAATGCTTTTATATAGTTTGGTTTATTGGCATACGTGTGGATTCTTGTTCTAGAAATAATTTGTGAAGAACTTATAATTCATCACAAAGAAATATATATTCCTTGGTCTCTTTTACCATTTGTGCTTGAAGTTTGCATCACCTAGCTGTGACATAAAAATCCCTGACGTGACAAACATGCTTCCAGTTTATTTGTGGGAGTGTTACAGGTGCTTTTGTTCACATTTGTAGGTAACTTTGTTTAGCATTTGTCACAGACATAGCTAGCAGTTGCCTTTTGAGCTATCCTAGTCTTGGGGGGTTAAAATTAATTTTGAGAAAAATTACAGAGAATCAATTCAGTTTTGGTACTTTGTTTCATAACATGAGAAACTGTTTTAAGCATTTCTTCTGTCATCCTTCAGAAAAATAAGCTTTTAAACATTTGCCTGTCAAAGCCATGAAGGAACTTTTAAAAAGGAGTTTTATTTCTTAAATATATCATTGCTGATCAAGAAAAATGAGAACATAGTAAGTCTTTAATTCTATGGTTTATACTCCTTTACAAGCAAGGTATAATTTGGAGATGTGAGCTTGGAGTTGTGTTACGAAAGAACTGTGTTTCAGGTCAATACACTGGAGTATTTCTACAGGGTTTAGTGGTTTACAGTCTTACTTTATGAAAATAGTAACGGGGTATCAGACACTCTATCTGTGCTTTAGAAGTGCTGCAGTACAATCTTGTTTTGCCAGGCTGGAGGATGGTGCTGCACAACTTCAACAGGCTAATCTAGGTCAGTGGGCCCTGTGACACTCCTCCCTCCCCCAAGAGGAGCACAGAAAAACCCTGGTCACAGTGTGCTGAGCAGCAGCACGTGCTGTACCCCCAGCCCTGTGCCTGGTTTGTCATCCTGGCACAAGTTCAGAGAAGCAAAATGCTTTCTCTGGTTCTCGTTTATGCTGAGATCACTGTGCTGCCAGAGCAGGGCAGAGTATGCCAAGTACTGTAAAAGTGTGTAAGATAATAATAAATATATAGGTAAGTCATTAATTGACTTTAAGGTGTTTTTCCTTCTCCTGCATCTTAGTGTTCATCCATTTCATATTCAGCTTTTTCCTGAGGCTTTTCAAGCCTCAGTTTGGGCGTGAGTGCTTCTTTCAAACATCTTTCCCCTAGCCTATTCTTACCAGGCTGAGTATGTACATTAAGCATTTCCTCTGCTGCTTCCTAAAAATCTTTATTTACTACTTTCTTCATTTTTCTTTTCTGAAGATACTTGTTTTTTAGCATCTTACATGATGTGGAGAGAACTCCAGGTCTTCAGCCCTGGGTATGGGGAGAAAAAGAGGTAATGCTTTGAAGCAGCTGTTCCAAGCATATAGAAAATCAAGCAGTATTTCATTTTCTTGGGCTTCTTCTTCTTAGTCATAATATGCTTAAGGTTGTCTATATTGAGTCAAACCAAAGGACAATCTATTCCAATGTCCTGACAGCAACAGCATAAGTAACAGTAGCCCAGACAATAATTATGTTTGTATTGTTTGTAGCCTGTGGTCCTTGAGCCATAGGTGGTAGTAAGACAGAATGAGAATGTGTTTGGATTCCACCCACATCCCCCTTTTATTTTCCTGGAGCATATATGTGCGTGGCATAACTTTAATGTCTTTGCTGTTGATTATTTCCATTGATTCTTGTAATCCCTTCTGGACATTGTGAACTTCCAGCTTCCATAATTGTATGTAGCAAGGAGCTTTGTAATTCCATTGCTCACCTCATGAATCTTATCTTCTAGTCCTTGACTTGCTTTTGGCATCTGTTGGTTTCACCTGTTGTGCTGTTGTTCTTACCCTGGAAGAGGCAGTGAGTGGTTGTTCTTTACTTGTCCCCAGCACTGGTGGGATGGGTTCTTTGATTTTAAGAATTGTCATTATCATGCCTCAGTTGTGTCTCCCTCACTGAAGACCTTATTCCATGCGTGTTCTTTGTGTACAGAAGCTATTCTAAACTCTTAGCTCTTCCCTCTACCTCTGTTTTTATCTGTTTTTTTTCTGTTTTGTTGGGTTTCTTGTTTGTTTTTATTTCTCGATATTTTCGTGCCAGGGAAGGTGGGTTGGGAACTGTGTATGATACTTCAGCTGTGGGTACCTCATGGCTTTCATGAGGTGGTGTAATGATCTCTGCTTTTTGTTGTCTTGATGCCCTGTTTCTCCAGCTGCTGTTGTACAGCAAACCAATTTCTTCTATGGTGCCAAGATCTTATTCCTAAGTGGAAGGAGCCCTTTTAACAGGATAAGTTGGGATTTTTGTCTGCCCTGCTTGTCAGCATACGTCCACATGGTGTGTCCTGCCGGGGCTGCAGGGAGAGGACTGAAGGGAATGGTCATGAGCTGAGCCAGGGCAGAGTCACCTTAGATGTGAGGAGAAATGTGTTCCCTGTTTGGGTGTTCAGGCACTGGAATAGATTCCCAGGGAGGTGGTGGAGTCACCATCCCTGGAAACATTTAAGAGGTGTCTGGACCTGACCCTGGAGGATCTGGTTTAGGGTTCCAGTGGTGACAGGTTAGTGGTTGGACTTGATGATCTTAGAGTTCTCCTCCAACCCTGATGATTCTGTGATTCTGCTGTTTTATTGGTCACTAATTTAAGTACCTGCATTTATTTTGCAGTTGCCTGACATCTGTACTAGTATAGTACCAATAGAGTTAATGACTTAAATATTTGTCTTCATATCCACTCAATTTTATTTTATAAGTTTCTGTGTGTCTTGCTGCTGTTGTCGCTTCCAAGTGTGTACTGGCTCTTTATTCCTGTGCCTTGCTGCATTCCATGTGTGTCTGGCAGTGTCAAGGGTTAGAACCCATAGCATTTAGTGTCTCTACTGGGTGTTCAGCAATGTCTTGAGTTCACATCATGCCTTTGTAGGTACAAAATCTCAGACATCTTAGTATTTTTTGACTTCTGTCCAGAAATGCAGTTTTTTCCTTAAGATAAATCCCATTTGGTTTTTTGTTTTTGTGAAAGAAGGATTGGCTACGTCTTTCTTGAAGCTTAAAATTGTAGAGTCAGGTCACTTTGACTGTGGGTATAGTTGAATATATATTTGATACCACTAGGTATCAGGTAATGTTTATTTTTTGAAAAAAGGTAGAAACAGTTCAGCTGGTGCAACAGCTCTGTGAAAACTGAGCTTTAAAAACAGTAAGTTCTGGTTCAGGTTCACTGTGATCCTTTTCTTATGTTTAAGGTACTAAATGTTGCATAATTAGGAAGTTAGTTTAAGTTCACCTTAATTGCTGTCTTGACTACAAAATGTCACTTTCTACATGTAAGTTTCAGTAGGGGATGCTAATATTCTGTTTCCCTTATAGAGCAAGAAACTAAATGAGGAAATAATCCTAAGGAAAACATCCTTAAACGAATGAGTATTGCGCAGCTGAAGTGGGAACATTTTTTTTGTGCAGTCAGATCTGGTTTGTGTTAGTGATGGATTCCCCTTTTTTGCTGGTAAATCAGTGTCAGTTTGCTCATGTGTGAGCGAGGGTTTGTTTACAGGCACTGCCACATCGTGTTTTCCT